AGGTCAGACAATATTAAGAAAGGTGAGGAAGAACAAACTTCTGTGGCTAATACATCTACCTTACCCTCTGACAGTAGCAGAAGTTTTACCCCACAGGCACTGGGGCACAGTGGGGTGATCTGAGAGAAGGAAGAAGAAACAAGAGCGAGAACAGGAGAAGGAGACGCTGTAGGAAGATTAGTTAACTGTCACCTCTTCTCAGAAAATGACCTAAGAGTAAGGGAACACTTAAAGGAACATTCTGTGATTTAGAGTTTAACCTGGAGGCTTTCCGCTCTTTGTTATCTGAGGATTGAGGAAAATCTCAACCCTTTGGAGCACCTCCATCTGAGCCCCTTAAGGGTCCACTGAGATGGAGCTGTGTGGTTCCAATCTTGGGAAGAGACGTGACTTTCCCCAGATCCCACACAACTTCATGGAGAGCTGAGGCTGGAACCCAGGGCTCACCTTCTTTCTTCCCATCATTTCTTAAGACCCATGATGTGGCAAGTGCTTATAGCAGGTGTGGAGCCACCGTACTGCATCGCAGCTTTGTTCACAAGGAGTTGGAAACAACCTAAGTGCCCATCAACAAACGAATGGATAGAGAAGCTGTTATATTCACACAATGGAATATTATGCTGCATTGAAAAACAAGGAACTCATGAAATATTATACAAAATGAGTTACCATGGAGGACATTATGCTGAGTGAAATATCTCAGTCACAAAAGGACAAACACTGCATGGTGCCACTGTTGTAAAATGAGACTGACATAGGAGTTGGGGGGAGACTGAGAAAGATGGGATAAATTATGTATACTGCATTGAAACAGATGAGAGAGAGAGAAAACTGTTTAAAAGGTATATATGATTAAATATTATTGTCATGACATGAATCCAGAACGAAAGCTGCATAGTGGAGTGGACTTGGAGGGAGGGATAGTGTAACAATGAAAGCATTTTTCTTTTGCTTTTCAAAGAGAGGAACGAACTAGAGGGGGAGGGTGGGCAGGGAGAAAAGTGCAACAATGAAGGGATGGAAATCCAAAATCTCTGTAAATTTTCATTAAATTTAATAATAAAAAGATAAAATATATAAAAAAGAAAAAGCGGAGTTGTCTTGCCTGTAACAAGTGCTAGCAGCATATCAACACAGCCCCAAGATTGTATAAGTGGGTGAGGGATGCTCGAGGTAGGTCGAGGAAGGCTCCTCTTGGGAGGTGACACTTAACGTACCCAGATGAATCTTAGGGAATGATGAGGTCGTTGAGTGTTCCAGGCCAAGAAAACAGCAGGCTTCGAGATCCCCAAAACAAGAACATAAAGGAAATAGACCTGAGCTATATGATAAAGTTGGTGCTGTTGTTATGTGCTGTTGAATTGACTACAACTCATAGCGATTCCGTGAACAACGGGTCTGAGCCTGCCCTGTCCTGTGCCTTCCTCACCACGAGTGTGTTGCTACAGCACTGTGTCGATCCATCTCGCTGAGGGTCTTTCTCCTTCTCTGACTCTCAGCCTTTCCCAGCATGACGTCTTTTCCCAAAAAAGGATTAAAAAAATGTGTGGGACACATAGAGATCCGGGTGACTCCTAGGCTCGAGGAAGCACAACTAGTTAGAGGTGTGGTGTGACTGTGAAGTTGGGATCCCTAGGAGAGAACAGGGGATATCCGAGCATTAGAAGTTGAATTTTAGCCACATTAAGTCTGAGAGATCTGAGGGCTGTCCAAGGGTGTGTGTATGTGGTATCACTGGGCGGTTGTAACTACAAGTCTAGGGTTCAGGAATGAGGCCCATGATGGATATATGAGTTTGGGAATCATTAGCTTAGTGAAAGTATATAAAATGATGGCCTTAGAACAGCTTCCCTGGAGAAAGGGGAAGAGAGAGGGTGTAGAAATACTCCAACATTTAGAAGTCAAAGTCAAAGAGTAGCCCAAAAGGAGACTTGGAAGAAACATCCAGGACTGCAGAAGGAAAACTTACAGTGTATAGTGTTAATGGAGCCAAAAGAAACGTGTTTTAGAAAAGGATGAGTGTTCAACCATGTTGGCCACTTCTAGGAGATTATGTAAAATAAGGACACAGGAAGATTGAGTTTTGCAATACAGAGATAGTTCATGGCCTTGGTAAGAGGAATTTCACTGAACTGCACTGGGCAGAATCTTGAATGGAAGGGATTGAAGAGTAAATACTGACTTCTGATAAAAATGGCAGATGGGCCATAAAATCTGTAACAAAGCAATCACCGACTCCAGGAAACAAAAGGCATTTAATGAAATGGGAAGGGTGTCCTCACGTGCTAAATGGAGCTCCGAAGGGCGTGCTTCCAGCCAACTTGTATAGAGATCTAACCATTATGGCATGGTTATATCAAGAGAACGGTGAGCATGGGTCCATGCGTGGGAAAGGTGGGAAGGTGCTGGTGAAAGCGTTAAATCCTTCCTTTCTCAACGACATTAAAGAGACAAGATCATGACGTTAGAGTAGAGAAGGTGTAAGAAAGTAGTCTGAGAAAAGGGAAGTGTAGAAGGTTTGGGGGATTCCTGGGGAGGGGGGATTACATGATTCATGAGGCCATGTATTGAACATGCAGGCTGTCAGCACAGCAGTGTCCAGGTCCTAAGAAGGTGGGCACCAGGAGAGGTAAACTTCCTGGCATCTGCATGGAGCTGGGCTTTGGGATCTTCAGGAAGGTCCTGGTGTGAGAGGCAGGTCTTAGAATGAGGATTCTGGTTGGCACGGCAGGTGAGAACATGAGTATCCTAGCAGGTCCCTGAATCTGAGTCTGTCTATAGTCCCACCTCTGTATGGAGTGAAGCATCAAGCCCAGATCACACAACTGACCCAAGCCAGACCGCCGGCCTCTCCGTCTGCTCCATAACTCAGACTCAGGAGGGCAGTGACTTTGGGGCCAAGTTCGTTTCCAGGTCATGAATAGAATGAAAATATTCCTCCTGGGCTAATCCAGGAAGTGAATCCCTCTGAAGGAATCTCTTCGGCTCTTAATAAAACCCTCAGTGCCATTGAGTAGGAACTAATTCATACATAGCTGACCCTCCAGCAGGTTTTCAGAGGCTGTAAACCACACAGGAAGAAATAGCCCATCTTTCTCCCAGGGAGCCGCTGGTGAAGTTGAACCATCAGAGAGGGGCCATTTTGAATTAGCAACGTAACTTCTGGTTTTTGGTTTTTTTTTCTTGTGTGATTGTACTGTCAAATCATATCTGACTGGTACAGGAGGAGATTGTCCCTCCTTTTCCCGGCAGAGCATCTGGTGGATTCGAACCGTGTGCCTCTGGGATTGTAGTTGCAGCTCCTTGCCACTAGACCACCAGAGCTCCCCTGCAATGTAACTTCTGGATGGACTGTGACACCCTTAATAATTACAGGATTAACAAAATGCTAACTACCGGTTGTCGTCATAGTGATTCCATCTCACGGTGGCCCATCCACTTCAAAGTATTTGTGACCTTTGGAAGGAGATCACCAGGCCTTTTTCCTGAGGTGCTTCTGGGTGAACTTGAAATGCCATCCTTTCCACTAATAGCTGAATATTTAACCACATCACTCAAGGACTTGGAAAGTGAACACTACCATTACTTTTGTGATGGTTCAAGCACTTTTCTAAAGCTTTCATATACCATTTCAGCCCACACGGCGGCCCTATGTAGTGAATACTATTTTTTTTTTTCTACTTGACTTTACAGGACAGTGAGGGACAGAGCATTAAGTGACTTGCCCAGGCCTGGATGCTGTAAGCACCAGAGTCCAGGTTCAGGCCCGTCCTTGGGTTTTGGGGTCCCTGCAGCAGCCACCTCCCATGACAGCCTTTCAAGCGGACAGGGACCTTCCTGGAAGGCCTGAGAGCAGAAGGCTGGAGATGGTTTGGGGTCCTTATCTCTCACTACTCTGGCTGGGAGGAACAGCCATGTCCGAAAGCTTCATTGCACAACCCCTGGTCCTTGAAGAGGAGCCAGCAGCCTTCAGGAATCAGGTGTACACGCAGCCCAAGAGGCCCAGAGGCTGTCCTGAGGCCAGGACCCCAAAGGCACACTAATGACCCCAGAAAAGGGGGGACTGAGGCTCCTTTAGACCTACCAGCTGGTGTAGGTCCAGATTTAGGGGTCATAGGTCAAAGACTGCCTCCTAAAGTTGTGCCCATTTGGCTACTTCTCTCAAACCCATGTCTACACCTCCAATTCAAGCCGAGAGGTCACCTGCCCTAGTCCTCACAAAGCAGGGTCCATGGAGGTAAAAGGACTCCCCCTCTTAACCTTACTGCCTGGATTTCTTTTCTCCCCTGTAGTGCTGCCCCCAGTCTCTGAGCTTGCATCCCTGGACCCTGCTTTGTGGGGCATGTGCCTGGAGTGGAAGGGACTTCCTCTGAAACCGGACCACTCGCTCTGTGAGAACAGCACCTCGGTTATGTGTCTCCCCCTTATCATGTGGGTGCAGCTGCCCTGCCCTCAGACAAAGCCCTCTGTCGTTGCCACCCTGTGTGCTGTCCTTGTCACTTTTCCCCTGACTTATGTCACACACACACACACACACACACCCACACACACACACACACACACACACCCCTGTCTCTCACTCTGCTACTCTTGGGCCAGGTCCCTCTCACCCCCCTCGGAGGGTGCCGTTGGGGGGGACTTGGTTTGTTCACTGACCCCCAATTCTTTCAAGGCCTTCAGGAAGCTTGAAGACCATTTTGTGTTGTCTGCAACCTGTCCGAAAAGTCACAGCCACATCGTGGCGGCTCCTGTCACACACTGCCAGTGACAGCCGGAGACCTGCACCCCCCTCCTCCACCAGCCCTGCACAGACAGGCCCACGTGTGTCCCCAGACGCCTGAATCACTGCTGACGGCTTGGGACCTGGCGGACGTGGGCTCCTGGGGAGTCGCTGGGGAGGGGGTGGCAGTCACGTAGGCTCGGAGGGAACACCTGCGGACATAAATAGGCGCCCAGCCGCCGCAGCGCAGCACAGTCGGCGAGCAACACCGCACACCACGCCAGGATGCCCGACACCACGCTGCCCGCCTGCTTCCTTGGCCTGCTGGCCCTCACCTCCGCCTGCTACTTCCAGAACTGTCCGAGGGGCGGCAAGAGGGCCATGTCGGACATGGAGCTGAGACAGGTATGATGGCAGAGCCCATGCTGGGGTGGCCAGGAGTGAGCAGGGCCCAGGGCTGGCACCGCGGGGCAGTGGTCAGGAGAGGGAGAAACAGGCTTTAGGGAAAGTGCTGGTAGGAAGAAAGAGGCTTGACTCAGCTGGGCACAGGGCCAACAGAGTGGGTCAGAGAGGACCCTGGGTGGGCTAGGAGGACTGAAGGGTTTCTGGACATTGTCACATCCAGCCTGGGGCTGCAGGAGAGGAAGAGATGCTTTCCCAGTAACTGGGATTGGGGCAGGGACAGGGAACTGGGTATGCAGGCCTCCTCTGTGCCCAGGTGGTCCCCGCAGGAGTACTGGATAGAGCAATGGAGGCTCTGTCCTGCTCAGCACTTCCCCACCCAGGCCCCAGCCTCTGCTGGCCCAGGTACCCCCACCCCCACCCAGAAGGCTCCCAATTGCTCCCAGCTCTTGTGCATGAAGCATCAGCCAGTGTGGGCTGTGAGGAAGCTGAGGCAGATACTCAACAAATTCTGTCCTGTTTCAGGTCCTGCCAATCAATTAATTTCTTCTGTTTGATTTTCAGCAGCCATGAAAGACATCAATCACTAGGCCTACTTTTTTCTGGGGCCACCAGAAAATGGCTTGATTCCGTGCTGTTGACCACACTAGAAGGGGCTGGTGGGCAGGCTAAGGGGTTACTTTGCCCCCTACTTGGTTCATTTGAAAGCTCAGGGCAGGCGAGGTGCCTCTGCCCCCCACTGCTTAGGAGAGCAGAGGCAAGAGCAAGAAAAAGCCCAAAGCCCCAGCTGTCAAGTCAACTTCGACTTGGAGCCACCCAACCAGCCAGAGGAGAACTGCCCCACAGGGTGTCCAAGTCTGTAAAAGAACAGAAGCAGATTGCCACACCTTTCTTCCGCAGACATCTGGGTTAGCAGCTGAGCTCTTAACCACGGCGCCACCAGGGCTCTTTAGGGGACACCAGAGATGAGAGGCAGGACCTGGGTGTTACAGAGAGGGTAGGGCCCTTTAGGGCTGGAGAATGTGCTAGGGCTCAAGTCCCAGCGACAGGGGCAGAAAAAGAAGATCGAGACCAGCTCCGAGTGGCTCGAAGGGTCTCACCTTTCCCCCCACCTCCCTTGTGTCTGTTCCCCGCCTGTCCCTGCAGTGCCTCCCCTGCGGCCCCGGCGGCAAGGGCCGCTGCTTCGGGCCCAGCATCTGCTGCGGGGACGAGCTGGGCTGCTTCGTGGGCACAGCCGAGGCGCTGCGCTGCCAGGAGGAGAACTACCTGCCATCACCCTGCCAGTCGGGCCAGAAGCCCTGCGGGAGCGGGGGCCGCTGCGCCGCGGCCGGCATCTGCTGCTACGAGGGTGCGTGGCTGGGCCTGTGCGGGAGGAACTGGGGTACCCGGCACCGTGGGACCCAGGAGCTCAGAGGCAGGGGCGGGGCAGGGGCGGAGGCGGGACTTAGGGGAGTGGGCGGGGATCCACAGGGCGTGGTTCTCGGGGGCGGGGCCCGGATGTTAGTAGGTTAGAGCGACGTGTGAGCGTGGACTTCTAAGAGGCTGGGTCGGAGGCGGGGCCCGTGTACTGGGCGGGGCCTAGATCAGAGGCGGGCTGTGGAAGTGGGCGTGGCCAGTGCAGGTCCCGGAGTCGCGTCCACGTAGGGGCGCCCCGCGGGCCGGCGCGCTGAGCGGCTCCTGCGCGTCCTCCCGGCAGAGAGCTGCGTGACCGAGCCCGAGTGCCGAGACGGCGCAGGCAGCCACCGCCGCGCCCGCGCCAGTGACCGGAGCAACGCGACTCAGCTGGACGGACCGACCGGGGCCTTGCTGCTGCGGCTGGTGCAGCTGGCGGGGGCGCCCGAGGCCGACGAGCCCGCCAAGCCCAGCGTCTACTGAGCCCGAGCCGCGCTCCGCGCTTACCCCTCCCTCCCTCCCTCCCTAACTTTGCAGTGAGCAAAATAAACCTTTTAAAATGCACTGCGGGTGTGTGTGGTTAGTGTTCGTCCCTGGGGGAGGGGGGCTGCGGCACAGACCCCCGCTCTGGACCAGTCCCCGGACCGAAGCTGCGGGTAGATCGGGCCTCGAGAAGGGGCAGATCGTGCAGCGATGCAGAGTCAGAAGCGAGCGTGCGCCCGCAGAGGTCTGGACAGGACCTGGGAGGAGAGCAGAGGGGAAGGATCCGAGGCTCAACACATAGGGCGTGGGCTGGAGAGGGAAGCAAACGCAGGAAGATGGAGAGACATCAATGGACAAGATAGCAAGAGACAGAGCTAGCAGAAGGACAGACAGACATTGAGAAGGACAGAGGGAGGAGCGGAAGTAGGCAAGAGAAAGGCAAAGTAAAGGCGGCATGAAAGCAGGTGGGACATATTAGAATTTGCTTTTGTCTTCCACCCCACTACCCTTCTCAGACACACATGCACCAGGACCGACAGCCCAGGGCTCAGAGGTTATAAAAAGAACGAAGTAGAAACATTTTTTTAAGATAAACACCTTGGCCCTCTTCCAATGAGTCAGAGCTGTGACTAGGAGTTCCTGTCCTCATTTGCATCCCAGGGCACCAAGACACAAACTTACCCAAGCCTTCCCATCCAACACCTATTTCATTTGGTGATGGTGATGATGGTGGGGTCAGCCAGGAAAAATCACTGTCAGAAGCGAATAGTCTATCTGACCAGGAGCAAACAAGGCACTTGCATTAGGGTCCTTCAGTAGAGTAGAAGACCTCCCACCCTACACATCCTGCAAGCAGATAGAAATACAGTCCTCCCTACCATACATTCAACCAGAAACACAGACAAGAACATTACCATTAGGGACACGGCCAGTGAGCCCTGATCACAACCACAAATATGGGCATTCAGAACCAGATGCCAGAGAAACAGACATAGTAGATGTGGACTCGCACGCTTGCGCGCACACACAAACACACACAGGATGTCCTACTGTCTGACATACGTAACTTTAGGCTGCACTTGGCCATTGTTCCCCTGTCCTGACTTTTCTCTGTCCCTGCTTCCTTCTTGGTCGCTTTGTTCCTACCTGTGCTTTCTCTCTTTTTGTTCCACACTCTCTCTGGCCATCTCTCCTGCCCCTCCAGCTCCTTGTCCCTGTTTATTCTCTCCTTACCATTTTCAGTCCCCTGTCCCAATTTGTTACCTCCCAAAATTCTCCATCTTTGTCCTCTTCTTTGCATCCTCTCCTTGAGATTTCTTGTCCCAGTTCTTGGGGCCCTGAGAGACCACAGCTCCTGCAGACTTGAAGGCCAGCAGTAGCTCTGGCCCCGGCACTACCCTTGTCTGGACACAGAGCCTCATGACTAGACAGCTGAGCCTCAGGCAGCCCTGGCCAGAGTCCAGGAGCCACGCTGAGGTCAGTCTCCTAAGAGACTTACTCACCCCCATCCAGCTCAGGAAGCCTCTGCCGGTGACAGTGCTCCTGTGTGACCACTTAGGGGTAATCTCCAGGCCACTGTAGGGCTGGAACAGAAGGTGACCTGCTGGGAATTGATCCATCCTTCAGAACAAAGGACAATTCAATGCTCTTCGCCAACACCAATTCAAAGGCATCAATTTTCACCGTCTTCCTTGTCTCATTTCCAACTTTCAGATGTGTATGTACTATGCATATGGACCATGTTCTACCAAAAGAACAATCAAATCCATCTAGGAGGAAGAACAACTATAGGGTCCTTTGGGTATGTCAGAGTCAGTCCTTGAGCAAAGTCATCATACTGAGAAAGGAGGAGGGTTAGAGAAAATGAAGACCCTTAACAAGATGGACTGTCACAACGACGGTAACAATGGGCTGGAGCGTGTTGGAGATCATGAAAATGGTGCTGGAAAGGGGAAGTTTCGGATCTGTTGTTCATAGGGTTGCTTTGAGTCGTCGTCAACTTGACAGCATCTAACAACAACAGGGTAAAGGAATTAGAAAGAGACGTGTGGCTCAGCTGCATTGGACCTCACTCCTAGTGCTAGTGTCTGGACTTGGGGACAGTTTCAGAATGTGAAACAGCTCCTTCCCCTCCTCGGATAAAAGTTAAAGACTTCATTTCCTCCACCCGGTCAGCAGTCCCTCTCATTTCCCTTTCCTCATCAGAGATGGTTCAAGTCTGCCTGCCACCCAATCTCCATGAATATTCTACTCTTTCCACCTTTCCTTGAGTCTCCCACCGCCACCACAGAGTCACTGGGTGGGGAAGGTCCAGAAGTCGAGGAAAGTTCGTGGTCTGTCCATTCAGCCACGCCAGGGGCAAAGGAGCCTCCCACAAGCAGATGACAAGAGTCTCCAGCTCTTCTTATTTTTTCCTTTCAAAACGTAGTTTAATTTTGTTTTTCATTGTTATTGTTATGTGCTGTTGAGTGGTCTGTGGCTCAAAGCAACCCTATGTATAACAGCCCTATAAACTCTACCCTATCTTGTGCCAATCCTACCATCTCCGACACACCTACTCCAGTCACTGAATCAGTGCATCTCATCTAGGGTCTTCCTCTCCTCTGCTGTCCCTCCATCCTCCTAAGCATGATGTCTCTCCTAGGACTGGTCCCTCCTTACAACTTGCCCTAAGTATGTCAAATGGAGCTTCAGAATCCTTGCCTCCAAGGAGCAGCCCGGTTTTACCCTCTCCAGGATGAACCTGTTTGTTCTCCTGGCAGTCCATGGCATATTCAATATCTTCTCCAGCACCACAGCTAAAAGGCATCGATTCTTCATCTATCATTCTTCGTCATTGTCCAGCTTTCTCTTTCTGAGGCACAGCAAATTTTAGAACCAATGAAATGATTCGTTAAGCCACACTCACGGCAAAAAACCAAACCAACAACAACAACAACCCCAAAAGCAGAAAAAAAAAAACCCCTATGTTGGAATTTTTATTTTAATTGTGTCACATTTAGAAATCATTTTGGGAAGAACTGACATTTTGACTATGATGACTGTTTCAAAGCATACACAGTACTTTTATTTCTTTAATCAGCATCTTGTGTTTTTCAAATTTTGTACATATTTGATAAGATTTCTACCTAAGGATTTTGTGGAGTTTTGTAGTTTGGTTTTGGGGTTATTGTAAGTGGCATTGTATTTGTTTTCTCAAAGTCTCAATAACACAGCCTCATTGCTCTCAAGTCTGGACTTGACTGGGTTTTCCAGGCTCAACATCACACAGGTGGAGATCAGCCATCTTTCTCAGGTGGCCTTTGGGGTTAACAGGACAAGTTCCCTGGAGCATGCCAGCAGAGTTCCACTGGCTTCCTAAGACTGTCATAAAGAATTATCATGAAAGGGTTAGGTTAACACAACAGAGACTCGCTATTTTATCGTTTAGGAGGTTAACAACCCAGAAGCCCCTGTTGCCCCTTCAAGTCATTACACCCCTCAAGACTTCTACCACCATCGATTCATTTCGTCTGATTTTTGTAATTTACATAAACAACATGGAATTGTCTTTAGATTTGGCTTTTTCTTTCTTTTTTTAAAAGTTTGTTCTCTTTTTTACTTGTTCTGTGCCATCAAATCAGATCTAACTGTCACAGGAAGAATTTGCCCCTCCTTCTCCAGCTGAGCTTCTGGTGGATTTGAACCTTACACCTTCAGTACAGCTATTTGCCACCAGACCACCAGAGCTCCCTTGGCTTTTTCTTTCTACATGCTGTGCTCTGTTCTGTTGAGAATGACCCACACTCTCACTGAGCTGTAACAGTCCAGAGTGTAAGAGCCTTAGAAACAGCATCCTTTATTACGTATAGATATAAGCTGCTTCCATTTTATTTGGGATCTGAGTGCAACTGTCTAAAATAGATTACCTAATGGCGTGGGAGAATGTGGGAGAAAGATGGGCAGTCTCCTCTGGAGTGATTTACTGCCTCTACAAATCCTCTGGAGAGTCGGCTTTGGGTCAGTTCCCACTCGATGGTACTCAGCAACAACAATGGAATGGGTGGGAGAATGGGTGAGCTTTCTAGGGAGAAAGATTGGGTTTTTTCCCCCTCTAATTTCCAAAGCACATTCTGATCCAGGAGAGGAGAAATGCTGCTCGAAGGGCTCCATTTGCTTGCCCATGTCTTTTGATTTTCATGATCACTTCTCTGGTCAAGGTCTCAAGGGAGTCCTTGTCCTCCTGCAGGTGTTGTCGTCCAGACTCGTGTCCTGTAGAGGTAGGAGTGGACCCGGGACTGAGCTGTGCGATCCCTTTATCGTGAAGGACCGCAGGCACTTGGCACGGCAGCCCCCAGGTTCAGCTTCCCCAGTCTGGGGTATCTATCTCCCTAATAACCTGAACAGTTCTCCAGCTGTCCCCCCTTTTAATCCCAGCTCACAGTCACCCCAGCCAGCTAGGAAGGTAGTTAGTTAGGTGTGGCTTCTGGGAGTCATTCATTTGTCCTTCATGTTTCAGTACCCTCTCCCAGTAGAATCATTTCTGACGACCTCACTCTCAATGTTTTAGATTTTTTATTAATGTTTGCCACCAGCTTGCTGTAGACTCCCCAGGCCCAGTGTGGAAAGGGGAAGCTAGGAGAATGTTTCCATTGAGAGCCTCCTTCCTTCATCTCCTACCAGACTGGATGCCAATTGGGAAATCTGTCTCCATGCTTAGCTAGCTTTGAATTCCTGCTTCCAACTGCCAAAAGCAGGCCAGCAGGGTCTGAGTGCCATCCCAGACTCCCCCTCCCCCAAAGCCCTCACCTCCAGTTTCTAACACTGGGTGACACCGCTGGTGAAGCGTTCTAATCAATTAGCCTCAAGGCTTTGGAAGGCCCCAGGGACACCTCGAGAGACAGACCTGGCAACCATCTACTGCAAGGTTCCAGCTGTGCAAACCTGCGGATGGGGAGCTTGTTATTGTTGTTCTGTACCATTGAGTCGACTAGGACACACTATTCACTATCTGGTTCTGAACCCTGCCCTATCCTGAGCCACTCTCATTGTCTCTGACACACCTGACCCCATTGCCACATTCCCTGTGTCAATCCTTCTCATCCGGGGTCTTCCTCTCCTGCGCTGACCCTCCACCCTTCCAAGCATGCTGCCCTTCTCCAAGGACTGGTCCCTCCTGACATGTCTCAAGTATATGAGACAAGGCTTCAAAGGCCTTGAGTCCAAGGAGCAGCCTGGTTTTACCCTTTCCAGGACAGTTCACAATACGTTCAATACTCTTCTCCAATGCTACAGCTCAAAGACATGTTCTAGTCCGCTCACAGGAGGACGCTGTGAGCCAAGACCTGGCGCAGGCCGCAGCTAAGACGACAGCAACAGACAACAGACAGCTGGAGTTGGTGGGAAGAAAATCTGCTTTATTTTTTCTTATCTCTGAGGGTGGTCATGGGGAAGAAGGGGTGCACTTCAGCTGACTGTGACTCAGTGCTGGGAGAAGAAGGCCTCGGCGTCGCAGGCGGGATCCGCATGGCAGCCGTCTAGGAGAAGAGATGTGGGGTCAAGGGGGTGCCCCAGACTGGCCCCTGTCCCCCAGCCCCCAGTTCGCGCCCCTCCCTCCACCCCGGTCCGCGCTCACCGGGGCTGCAGCAGACCCCTACCGCGGCGCAGCGGCCCCCGTTCCCGCAGGGCTTCTGGCCCGACTGGCAGGGCGACGGCAGGTATCTCTCCTCCTGGCAGCGCAGCGCCTCGGCTGTGCCCACGAAGCAGCCCAGATCGTCCGCGCAGCAGATGCTGGGCCCGAAGCAGCGGCCCTTGCCGCCGGGGCCGCAGGGGAGACACTGCAGGGACAGGCGGGGAACAGACACAGGGGAGAAATAGAGGACAGGGAGGTGACGCCAGGAGTGGGTCCTGCGGGCTGCGGTTCTGGGTCTGCGTGGTCGTTGCAGCCCCGAGAGCCGTCAAGGGCGCGGCGCTGAAATCTCTGAGTGCCCTGGGTTCACCGGCTGGGCGGACCGCGAAGGATCGGTGAGCGGACGGGGGTGGTGGGGGGAGACCCTGTCCTGGGGGTGCCTCCCAGCGGCCCTGCCCAGTCCCCCCATCTCAGAGAGGCTCGGGGCGCGCTCACCTTGCGCACGTCGAGGTCCTGGGTGGCCCTCTTGCCGCCCAACGGGCAGTTCTGGATGTAGCAGGCGGAGGTCAGCGCCAGGAGGCCGAGCAGGCAGCAGGCGAGGCTGGGACCAGCCATGGTGCGAGGAGTTCGGGTTGACCGGTGGTTGTCCGCTGTCTCTAGGCTGGATCCTTTTATGCTGGGGACCGCGCCCCCCCAAGCACCAGCCTAAGAGAGTGGCCGCATGGCTGGTCACAGCGGGTCACTGCGTGTCAGGCCCTGTGCTGCCCTCTCATTTGCAGGGTCCAGGCGGAGGTCAAAGTCACAGAGTCGGTTAATTGACCCAGGGCAGAGGTGGCCGCTTGGCAGAGCAGGGAGGTTGGGGTGGGGGGACTTGGGCCCCAGGGTGGGCATGGAGAGTGTGTGTGGGGGGGTGGCTCAATTATGGGGTGTTGTATGTGTAATGGGTGGCTCAGTAAAGGGCTATGATGTGGTCAGATTCCCAATACCAGGAGTTGGTTACCAGGGGTGTATTGGGAGCACCCCAGCTTTTCACCGAGACAGTACAGTGCTCGATCCCCCCTGCCTCTTGACCCTCCAGTTACAGGTGTTGTCATCTTGAGGGCTAGAAAAGTTCCCTTTTGCAAACCCACATTTCCTGCACCCCACCCCCACCCCTGCCCTCCCCATCCCCCCACCCCCGTGTCTGGAAGAGGAATGTGTGTGTCTTCAGTTTCTCTGACACCTGGTGGAAGTCCAAGTTTTTCTCTTACTGTGGCTCTGGTGGAGCTGTAATGCCAACCCAAAGGCATGTGGTTCAAATCCACCAGATGCTCCTCGGAAAAAAGATGTTAACTTCTTTCATGTGAGTTGTTGTTGTAATTAAGGGCCATTGAGTCAAGTATGACTTATAGCAACCCTATTAGAAAAAGACCTGAATCCTGTTCTTTAATTATTTAATTATTGTCATTTCTCTAAGTTCATAGAGTTTGTAGAGGCATATTGTTTATAAAGTGGATGCCACTCCTGCTTCCAAGCCTTTCTTAATCTGGGAGCTCCACCAAACATTGTCTACTATGGGTGACCATTATGGCATTTGACACACTAGCGTCACAGTGTTCAATATTACAGCAAGCCCAAGCTACCTCAGTAGAGGAATTGACAGACCACTGCTGTACCACTTAGAAGAATGTTCATTCTAAACACAAAACCAGGCCTGAGGGCTGAGGGCCCAAATGACTTTTCAATACCCAAATGCATAGCCCATACCCTGATTGGCTCTAAACAAAAGGCTTCCAGCCCACAGCTAGCTGTTAGCCAAATCCAGCAAATTTAATCAGCTCACACAGGGTTGTGAGCGAAATAAAAACAACCAAACAGTCCACACCCTACCTTCAACCAAAACAAGAAGAACCTACCTTTCAAAATCCAAAACCTAATGGCTTCACATATGAGCCTCCAAAATGAAGTTCATGTGATTTGTTATGTGCGGTCGAGTTACCTGGACTCATAGCGACCCTATGTATAACAGCCCTGCCAATTTCACTGTCTCTGACACCCTATTACCCCAGTCACTGAATCAATTCACCTCATAGAGGGTCTTCCTCTACTGTGCTGTCCCTCCACCCTCTCAAGCATGACGTCCTTCTGTAAGGACTGGTCCCACCTTGCAACATGTCCAAAGTTTGTCAGATGAAACTTCAGAATCCTTGCCTCCAAGGAGCAGCCTGGTTTAATCCTCTCTGGGACAAACCCGTTTTTTATCTTAGCAGTCCATGGTATATTTAATACTCTTCTCCAACATCACATCTCAAAGGCATCAACTCTTCTTCTATCCTCCCTAGTCATTATCCAGCTCTCTGATGCATAGCAAGTGATTGCAAAGATCATGGCCTGTATCAGGCACACTTTAGTCTCCAGAGTAACATCATTGCTCTTCAGGCTTTGGAGAGATCTCTAAGAGCAAAATTTCCCAATCCAATATGGATCAAGGCAGAGTCTGAAATAATTGGGGCCTGACATCACCCTCTGCTGGGAAACATTATCCTCAAACTCAAGAGACACTGCCCACAGCATAAGAAATTGGCAGCAACTTGAAGTGTTTAGAATCACAGCAGCCCATAAAGCTTGAGATATAAGCTATCAGAACAAGGGCTGGATAACGGGAGATAGGGGTTGAAGGGAGTGGGTGGGAGTGGAAGGAGATGTTAGTGGAGCAGGGAAATGGGTGGGTCAAGACATTTGTGTCAAGGGCAGGGACAACACTGAAACTATTGGATAAGTCTACAATTGGGGAAATATCTTTCATCTGCTTTTTCTGTAAAATGCTTGTCAGATACTTTTCTAAATCTGAGCATTCAAATTAAAACAGATTAGGAAGAAGGATTGGCCATCCACTTCCAAAATAGCAGGCCTCTGAAAAGCCTATGTACAATAGAACACACTTAGACTAGCAGATAGGGCAACTGAGGTGGAGCTTTCAAGTACAAACGAAGAGAAACAGTTGTAAGCAGACACTAGTGATTGGAACATGTGATTTACAGCCTCTGAAAACCCCCTGGAGGGCCAGTTATGAGGCAATTTCCATTCCACAGGATACACGTAACAACAGCTATGTGATGTTGGCAATACCTGTGCTGCTTATGGGATTAGAATGGGGATGATCCTCCTGCCTGTCACTGTCCTAAGTTGTGTTGAGTCACTTTCCCCTCCTGGGTCCAGAAGGCAGATGGCAGGCCTGTATTCCGAGGGGCCTCTGAGTGGGTAGCAACTGTCACCCTTTGAGTTTGTAGTTCAGGACTTCACCATTTAACCATCTGTGTCACCAAGGCCCCCTTAGCCCATCACAGCTACTGCACATGCATTGTGTTGAAGCTATGGAATGCACGCCTCCAGGGACTGTCTTTCACTGCCCCAGGGTCTTGTTATAAGAAGACACACGATCAATCACCAGTGTGTTTAAGAATCATGATGCCTGGCTATAGATATCACTCATTTGCTTCATAATATCATGTATTTTGTGCACGTCAAGAGTACTTACCTTCCCTCTTTAAATACACCACAAAATGAAAAGACTTAAAAGAATTCTGTCCTGCTCCAATGGAAAGAGTGTTGTCCAGGTTATGGGGACATGGGTCACTCAGATGTCCCTTCAAGGAGGAACCTGTGTCCCAGCTGCTGTGAGTGTGGTCAGCAGAGCGGCTTCGGCTGCAGCCCCCCTCAGGACTCCTCAGCTGCAGAGTCCCACCTCCCACCCTCGTCAAGGGCTTACATCCAGGAGGCACCACTGTCTCCACAGAACAGCTCTGAGGGGCTGTTTTGGTACCAGAAGGCCCAGTGCGGTCGCCGGAGGCGTTCTCTCTCTGCCCATTCCCATTTCCTTCCCCTCCCTTCCACCAGAGGTGACCCTCCGGGCACTCTGTAATCAGCACCTTGAACTTCTCCTCACATACTGCTCCTTGGGGAGCCCAATCTGCAATACAGATAAGACCAGTGTCAGAGAGACCAGACTGAGGAGGGCAGGCTGAGTCACCCTGCTCAGAAGAAACTGGAGACTGGATGACACCACCCTCTCCTTCTCCTGTCCTCATGTAACCCTTCAGGAGGACAGTGTGGAACTACTGGGACCTGTGTCCACCCCACTGCTCGGTGCAGAGACTCAGAGCCCGACTGACCATGAGGCACCAGAGTGAGCTGCTCAAGCCGATGAGGTCAGGCTGACCTGGGTACGTGTCAACCAGCAGCCCTTGTCTCTCACTGCAATATTAGCTCATTGGCATTGCCAACTGCGGGGTCAAGGGCTTAACATCACGAGACGGACCTTGGGCACGTTCAGTGAACATTCTGACTTCACACAGCTAACCCTGTATAACTTATGTGCATAAATTATCTTAATGTCCTTCCCTGCAGACATCCCTTCCTCAGTTCAACAACTACTCATCCTATGACCCTCAAAAAGATGGACTGAGGCAGTGCCTACGGCAATGGGCTCACATGTGTGTGGAATGATGAGGCTGGCACAGGACAGGACAGGTTCAGATCTACTGTTCGTAGGGTTGTTACGTGTTGTACTCTACAGCACTTAACAACAACCAAAAATCATAGGAAACAAACAGATTGACACACTTGACCCAATAATAACAAGATTCAGTGACTGGGATAATTGGGATGGGAGTATCAGAGACAGTGCGATTGGCACAGGACAGAGCGGAGTTTAGGGCTGTTGTACATAGGGTCGCTATGAGACGCAGGCGACTCGACGGCACATAACAACAACAACAACAGTGTTCACAAATGTGTAAAGTATTGAAAAAATTATGTTTTTAATAAGTCTGCATTCAATTCTTTAAGCAACAAATAAATCTTCATACAATTCTTTTAGAATAAACTTTGGCAAATTTTATGTTAGGAGCCAGATAGCAAATATTTTAGGCTTTAGGAGTCAGAAAGCATCTGATACAACTGCTTAATTTTTGCCATTAACTTATGTTGTGGTGTTGTTAAGTCGCAGGTGACTCATAGCGGAGAAGGAGAGTCCTCGACGCTTGGGTACATTTCATCCTCTCTCCAGGTTCATAGGGTTTCCAGAGGCAAGCTATTATGGAAGTGGATGCCACTCCTCCTTCCAAGCTTGTTTTCATTGGGGAGCTCCACCCCACTCTCTGTCCGCATTGGGTAGCCAACTATTAACTCATAGAGACCTTATATACAATAAAACAAAATGTTGCTCAGTTAGGAAAAAAAAATGCATTCTCACTGTGCTGTTTCTTCACTCAGATTTCTGGGTAGAGTTGGATGAGGACAGTCAGGCAAACACTGTTCTGTCTTTGTGATTAAAAAACAAACAAACAAACAAACTTCTCTTTTCTTTCTATTGTAAATCTAAGTACCATGACAGATGATAAACACCAGTGAACAAAACCAGCAAAAAGCCCTGCCCTCATGGGGCTTACTTTCCATGGGGAGAAGAAAGGTGTTAAAGCAGCAGCATGTCTGAGTGGGTTTAAAGGTAGTAAGTGCTGCAGAGAGCGAGGGGAAGGAATGCTGTCAGTGTAGGACTCCATGCAGAGATGGTGTTGGAACAAAGGAGCGAAGAAAGTACCAACCAGCCACCTACTGTTGAATAACAATCACAAAGGTA